ATTTATAAACTTGAGAGAAAACTATCATTTATTTATACACTGATTTTTAAATACTTGTATGCCTTGGCCTTGTTTTTTAGTAATTTAGAATCCTTGATTACCTAATACCATGAACCATAGAGAATGTCATAGGAAGCCCACCTTGGTAGGCCTCCTTGACACATGCTGTGTGGATTAGATAACTTGATTTGTATGGGTTTACTACCAAGAAGACTACTGTGGTTGAACCTTTGTGGTTCAAGAAGGTTTTGCATATTGTGAAACCATTGGGCATTGAATTAAATATTGCATAAGATTTATTATACTACATCATGCCATAGGTATAAGAATGTTGAGAATTTATATGTTATATGTACAATAATTGAGTGAGAGCTGCTACAGTCCTACAATTCTTTTTAGCAGCTTGGATATTCATATATATAGGTACTTTATTATGAAAGATCCAGATAAACTCAATATTCCAGTGAGAGCACCTGCTTGTGTTTGACGTGCAAGATGGAACAACAGAATATAATATTGCTAGATGCATGATGCTAGTTGTATGGTTACAGAAGAGAGTAACTTGATTGAAGAACTCCTTTGAGCCCTTGAAGATACGACCCCATGCGATGAAGGTATGTGATGATTTTTTACGCCAACATGTCTATGTTTTGCTATGCGAGATGAAAGATGAACTACGACTACAATTGGGATGAGATCCGAGCAGCAGAGAGAAAAAGATGTTGCCTCCATAAATCATTTGTGAAAGGCTTGATGATGAAAATCATGATTAATGTAATAAGAGAGAATAAGTAAAAAATGCTTGAGAGAAAAATTGTAATTCGATGAATGAGAATGTGATAAAGAGATATTATAAAACCTTCAAAGGCCAAGTGGGAGATATTAAGTTTATGTGACCATTAAAAGCCTTATGAGAGCTTGTATAAGCACTGTATATAATAAAACATAAACTCAGTGGGAGTGTGGTCATCTTATGGACCATACTAAGCAAATGCTCTATGTCGATACTTAGACTAGTCGAGTTAGAAAACCCAAGGTACCTGGGCATTGGGTAAAAACAGAGGAGGGTTCAATGGGTTAGCCCTCAATGAGTTTTGAGTATGGTCGGATGAATGAGCCGAGGGACTGTGTGGCCCTTGTATGTGATGGATAGCCTTTAGATATAGGGCTAAAATATCATCATAGTACCATCACACGGCATGTACATAGATAGTAGTATCGAGATAACAATCCACCATTGAGGGTGAAGCGAGTACATGTGCGAGAGATTACCCCTATGCACCATGGAACCGTGGTTGCATCATGGTCTAGGGGATCATAGATTTGTCTCTAAGGGAGAACCTGAAATCTATAGACTAAGATTACGTCCCCTAGTTTATTGACAAACTTTGGTGGTCCAATTATGAGCCTCTTACAGTGGATTGTGAGTCATAGGTACTGTCGTATCAGTTTGAAAAAGCTAGTGTGGATCGTGGTCCACAGTTAAAGGTGGAGTGCTCAAGTATATTAATAATCCTTAGACATATACGGATCCGATTTCCATCAAAATTAATTATTTTTAATTAATTTTATGTTATAAGATTTTTAGAATATTTATTTGAATTTTTGTGATTCTCTTGATATTTTATTTTTATCATTTGGATTTATAAAATAAGATAAAATCAATTTCTAATATTTTAAATAAACTAAGAGAAATAAATTCTATCTGTAAATCTTAAAAATGAAAATATTTCTAAATTATCTCCATATCATATGGGGGCCCATTTGTCACATATTGGAATTTGGGTGGGGCCCATAAGGGGCCACCTAGGGTGGCACGCCCCAACCATGGGGGGCTTCTACTTACTAAATAAAATTAAGGAAGTCCCACGCTAGTTGGCTTCCCATTTTGGTGTGAAGCCTCCTTGCTTAAGGAATGAATATAGTGGAATTTAGTATGTCTTGTGAAGCAAGATATTTGACTATCCAAAACTATGTGAATAAGGAATGAATATCCATAAAAGAAAAAGTATGAGTAATATTTTTTTTATTTAAATATTTGATGGAAATAAGTTTAGAAAATGGAGGATAAGGTTCTAATGCTTTTATTTGAATATTGATGGTTGATCTAAAGAGTTGATGGCTCAGAATTCTCACCCTACAAGTCTCTTTAGATCAATAATCTAGATTTGATCTCACTAAAGATGACAAACCCTAAAGCATAGAAAATCCATAGATAGAGGTTCTCCCTCTCATAAATCTCGACACCTCTTCTCTCTACAAGAGTTCTCTCTCGAAGATATTTCTCTTTGTTTCTCTAGGGGCCATGCCCCGCCTAGGGTTCTCTCTCTCTCCTCTTCTCTCTCTCTATTGTTTCTAAAGAGGAGGGCGACGCCCAACGTATTAGTTCTCTCTCTCTCTCTCTCTCTCTCTCTCTCTCTCTCAAGTTAGTTAAGCAAAAGGGGGCACGCCCAAGTTAGGTGGGTTGCAAAGGGGGCCAAGAAAGTGTTGTTCTTTCTCTCTCTTGATTAGTATATCTCATCTTTCCAAGACCAAGCCGAGGGGTCTTGATTAAGACTAAGGCATTGAGGCTTAGCAAGTTGGTTCTAGGTCGAAAATCCATATAACTTTGAGATAGTTTTGTCATACATAGTAGAGTCAAGAGACAGATCATTGATCCCGAACACCATTGGAAAGAGAAAACTCAACGTGGGGTATACTAAGCCCGGTTGAGGTAATCTCCGGTAATTTTACTTATTTAAATCTTATTTCTTTATTGTACTTTTCTATTTCCATAAAGCAATGCATCAAGTGTTTGTTTATTGAATAAAATATTTGTATTTAAATAGTAGCAAGTGAGAACCATTTTTATTTATTTGTTTATTTTAAGAGTGATTTATTTGTAATTGGGCATTGTAAGTGTTCTTGTAGGTTTAAGAAAAGAAAAATTTTAAATATATATACACTGTGATTTATCTTATTGTCCACCTTATAGTTTTTATCTTCTTTTAATGTTTATTGCAAAAGGTTTTTATCTTGTTAATAATGGGACACCTTAAATTATCCTAATAATTCATTTAATCAGAATGTTATTAGAGTTATTATTAGTTATTGTGATAATATTGAGAAAAATTCAATTTATCGGAGATAAATTGTCCCTAAGATGCCAAGCAGAGATTTCGTATGAATTGGGTTAGAAATATTAGCTTGAACTAACCAAAACCTAACTCCACTCATTAGGTTTTTATAGGAAATAAAACTTCTCATCACTTTCAAGTTTTAATTTTTGATGATAAAATGGTAATGTGTAGTTTTCCTTCAACCACCTTTCCATTCTCGATGGATGGAGAAGTTATCCAAGTGTTTCCAGGTGTTCCCCGCCCCTTCATGGGTAAATATTGTAAACAAGATTACTAAGAGTGACTTTTGTTCAGAAGTCCTCTTGTAGCCCTTGGATTATAAGCAACAATAACTATAGTAATAATTTATTAGTCCCTATAAACGGTCCAAATTTGACTTGGAACAGCCTCTAGATTGGCGCTTCCCCGTCTGAAGCATGTTAAAATATGAAACTATTAGTCTTCCCAAGTATAAGGGCGGCAATGGGCCGGGAGGCCCAGCTCGGTCTACATAATGTGGCCCGAGGGTGGGCTCAAGGACACGACTACCCCCATTTGGCTCAGGCTAGCCTTATTTTCTTAGTTCTTTTTCATTTAGGAAATATTTGTTTCACGTGAAAATATTTCCAAGAAAATGTTTATGTGAAAGAATTCTGGTTAGATGTGGGAATATTTTTATGTCAATTGGTCTAATGCATATTGTCACACTAATTGACAACTAATTGGTATGAAAATATTCCCACACTTAACTATAATAGGTTTTTTTTCACGTGAGCACAAACTAAATCTTCCCTAGTTTTTATGTAATTTTATTTGGCCTGGCTTGGTCAACATAAGGCCATGACTTGGCTTGGGCCAGCCCCATGGGCATTAGGGCTGGGCTGGGGCCCGGTCGTTGCCTGCCCTACACAAATAGGGTATTTTTCACATGATGGAGTTTTGGTGCAGCAGTTGACGCGCCTTGTTCATGTGTTATCTCCTATTAATATTTAGATGGATTTAGGTTGATAACCTTAACCGCAAAAGATCATAAATCTGAAAAAAAATAAATTTTAAATTTTAAAAATAGATGATTCTATTGTTTGTTTTTGACACCTTTTGGATCATCCATTTCAGTTAATTTAATTTTAAAAAATATATTTTTAAAAAATAAAATCCATTTTCTTCAGTTTAATGATCAAGTTCGATGTGCGAAATTTTAGATCCCAAATCCACTATAAAGATGAAATTTTAGAAGGAGACGTCAAGATCAGGGTGGTCTTTTAGACCCAAAATTCACTTAAAAGATGAATTTTTAGGACGCACCAAGACGCTTTCCTCTATATGAAGTAATATAAGCAAAAGTTAAAGTTACAAAAATTATAAGTACAAGTAACTTAAAAAATTATCATACGTCTGAAAGGGTCCTGATTATGGTGACGGGTAAGTTTTTTCTGGTAAACATGGCCTCCATGTCAAACACTCTAGATTATGGCTGGCAATCGGGCGACCCGGTTGGCCTGGTACTTAAAAAGTAGGGTCTGAGCCAGAAACGGTTACCCAAGGGCTGAGCTAGGATTAGTGCCGGTTCAGTTTGGCTACGCTCGTCTTTCTTTCTTTTTTTTTTGTCTTTTTTTTTTTGCTTTAGTTGTTTTCGCTCAGCAGGCCATAGCCAAGCTTGGGTTGGCTGGCCATGGGGATAAGGGCCAGGTCATGGCCAAGGCTGACGCGGCCCCAGCCCGTTGCCACCCTTACTCCAGATGAAAGTAACTATCGTTTGACTTCTTACCCATTTCCATGAATAATACAAATATTTGAAAGGGAAGTTCCTAAAAGTGGCCACATCATCTCACATGAATAAAAATGTGCGAGTGCCCAATCTATTTTCTTTATAAAAGGCCACTCTATGACTCACAATTGAGATGGATCCAATGCTTACTAGACTTTTAACATTTTAAATAACAAGAAGAGGTAATCTTACAACTCTTATTTGAAAACCCACAAATCCTAATAAACAAAAACAATGAGAGGAACCAATCAATCTCTTCCTTGTCCCACGCACTCCACTGAGAATCAGTAGAAGATATTCCATTACATTACAAAAGCTGGGTGCAGCTGAGTGCAAAAATGAATCATGGATGTCCCATCTCATAAAATCCCCACCCCTACAACCCAGATACACAATAATAAAAATGCAAGACAAGCTAAAAAATGATTAATGAGCCAAACAAAATCCAGCTAAAAAAAAAAAGAAGAAAAAGGAAAAGAGAGCCCACATCATATCTGATCTCATAAACATGAGCTTCTAGAAGCAATCTCTGTCAAATAATATGCCCATATCTTTCTGCCATATGAGGTGGATAAGGTCCTCAAAGAGCAGTGGATATCCTTATTTTGAATTTTTTGATTGGCTTGCCAATCATAGCCCCAATGTGATCTTCCTTGTATTCAAATTCCATGCCCCCATTTACTGTGAGACCTATCACTGAGATTTCCAGTATTTTGCCTTCTCAAACCCATTTCTGGAAAAATGATAATCCTCTATGGTTTGATCAATCTCAGCCTGTGTGTTCATCACAAAAGGACCATATTGAACGACCGGCTCGTTCAGGGGTTTCCCTGCAATTAGAACAAATCTCAGGGGCTTTGGCGACTTATTCCACACACTGATCCCCTCTCCACCAGGGCTCAAAACCAGTGCATGGTGAGCAGTTGCAGGGGAGGAATTTGGGCTCCCCAAAACACCCTCCCCCTCCATGATGTACACGAAAGCATTCCATGATTCTGGTATCGGTTGATGTAATTGGGCTGATGGTTTCATTGTGAAATCCAAATACATTGTCGGCGTTCTTGTATAAACTGGTGACTTAATCCCCATTGCTTCTCCTGCTATGATTCGCACCTCCACACCATCTCTCTCTGCAATCTTAATGTCCTGGCTTTGCAATTCTTGGTATCCCGGTTCGATCCTGGAAAGAAGCCAATTCACAAAAGTTTGGAATTTAAGGCTAGTGTTAATGTGATTGTAAGATATTTTAGTGTTATGGTACTCAGAGAAAGAGAAAAGATTTGTAGGTGAGTGTAACTCTCTTACATTTTCTCCTTGGAAGAAAGATTGATCCAGAGCTGGAGACCTTTGTTGGGTCCTTCCTCTGCTGGCATTTCAGAATGGATTATACCCCTACCGGCTGTCATCCACTGCAAAAAGTTCCAAATAGTTACCATCGGATTCTTGTTCACCACAAAATCCTTTTCCTAAGTCTTTCAAGAATGGGGAATGATAAAAATTGTGTATCTTTATACAAGTTTATTCAAGAATGGGGGGTTAAATTTTTCTAAAAATCTAAAATCATTCAATAATTAGGATCAAATTCGAGAATACACTACATACCTGTAAATCACCGGCTCTAATAGTACCCTTGTGCCCTGCAAAATCTTGATGAGTGAAAGCACCCTGGAAATTCCAAAAAGAAATCGATTAATACCCCAATATACCATAGGTTACAATACAGGTGTTATGAACTCCAATTCACCCGAAGTATAATATGCGAATACGTACCTGTGTCATGTATGTTACAGTCTCAAACCCTGAAAAACAGAGCGCCCCCCCAAGTTAGAAATAAAGACCGCGTTTAAGAGAGAGATCCTGAAATCTATAGAGCTAATATAATCTGCTCGACATATGTAAAATAAAATCATGGGATGATGCACTAATTATTCCTCAAACCTCTATGTGGATGATCGGGAAAACCAGCAGGAGGCGTAACTGCAACACCCAAGTTCCCAATATCATTAATCCAAATTGTAATAATTTGAACATACTACTCTCAACATAGATACGACATAATCAATTCGAAGTTTTTGGATCATACAACAATACCTGAGAATTCATCCAACATCAAGAAGGGGTCCAAATGCCTCAACTCCATCCTGAAAAAAAACCCAAGAATAAACCACACAGACCCAATTCCATTCCCGAAAGCAATAAATGAGAGAGATCCCATTTTGAAAACAAATAAATGAGAGAGAAAGAGAAAGAACCTTCCAATGCTCCTCCTCACCACAGCTCCATCTCCCTCGTGTTGGGGCCTGGCAAGTATCCTCTTCATCACCATTCGGGGCCTTTCAATCCCATGATGATCACTTGACATTTTGCTTATACTCTGTATAGCAATTCCTCCTCTTTCACTGGTTGGGATGACTCTTCTATTGCTTTCGAATTCGATTCCTCTTCTTCGACTGAATGGGATAATTCTTCTCTTGATTTCGATTCCTAAGTGTTGGTGCTGCTGCTTTTGTGTTGTGAATAAAATGCAAGGTGAGACAGTTCGAATGGGGAGGAGATTAAAATTTATAGGCAGCCTCCTCATTGAGTTGAGATCTCTCTCTGTGCGCCGGCCGTAACTAACTGACTTTTTCTTAAGAATATGATACATTTAAGATGAGAATTGTTTATTTTTTTTTTGAATATTTCTCTTGTCAATGGCATTTTATTAATGAAACCAATATGAATGTGCATTCATGGAAAGGAAATCATGGGTGGGTGGGTCTTCTCCCACGACACAAGCAAGTAGAAGTCACTTTTGGAAGGGAGGGTGAGGGTGAGGGTGAGGTGAGGGTGCGCCTGCCTGCCTGGCTGTCTGTCATTGGCCTCATCATCAATGCTATCATGACCTCAGCGTGATGCAATCATGATGTGGGCACCTCCCTCCCTCTCTCCCTTCTTGTGAAATACCCCAATTATTATTATTATTCATTTGCGTAAATTCAAAATAATTTCCTCAAATATTGAACATTCGTATAGGAAAAGAGCCTGAGCTTAATTGGTAAGCGCTTGACGATTTGAATTCCTATGGATTTATCCAAAAAAAAAAAAATGGTGCACCTATGTACTCATCCAAAAAAAAAAAAGGAGAAATAAGGTGGACCTATGTACTCATCTCAATTCTTCCTATCGACTTATCCAAAAAAAAAAAAAAAAGAAAATAAGGTACACCTATGTACTCATCCAAAAAAAAAGAAAAAGAGAAATAAGGTGGACCTATGTACTCATCCAAAAAAAAAAAAAAACCGGAAAAAGTTATTTTTAAATATTTTTGTTACACAAACAAATTTAAGAAAGAAGCCATTTAAAATGAAACAACTTAAAAAAGTGAGAAGATGAAAGGGAAATCGGAATTAATTCCTTCTTATAATAAAAGGTGAAATTTAGAAATTGTGGGTAAAATCGCTCCTTGCTTTTCCTTCCTATCATTGGCTTGAATAATGGACAAGTTTGAATAACACGTCTGGTCAAGAGAGAGGGAGAGACGAGGGAAAATTGTTTCATGCGCGTTGGACCGCATTTTAGAGTATGCGGGTGCAGAGGTATAAAGCATCTATCATAAAGATGGATGCAAATAGATGGTCTATTTAAAACGGGTGTAACTAACCGTTCAAATGTTCTCAAATAGATGATCAACCTAAAAACCAGTAACTAGAATTCCAAATGTTTTCTTAATATAATTATTATTTTTAGTTATGAATTTTTTCTTTTCTTTTTTTACATTTATGATCTTCATGTTAAAGATTATACATTTTCTAAAAATTAAAATCAAACTATATTTTAAAAAAAAGTTATTGCCAAACCCGTATTTGTACAATGTGCGGGCTTGCCGCATAGAAACAGTCTGAGAGAGAGAGAGCGCAGCCCTAACGGGTGACATCTCCCATACATAAGCATTGCGTGTGTCCGAAGTTTGACCGCCAGAAACGACCATTTCTTTATCTCTCTCCTCGCTGCCCAATCACAAAATATCTTTTCCCTTCCTTCTCTCTCCTCTCCTTGAACGTTTCCCACAAGCATCCTGCTCAAATTCGGAAATTTAGAGGACTTTTTGAGATAGGGTGCATGCTTCTCTACCAACCGCGTGCATAGAAGTGCAATTGAAATAGGGCCGGTAACAGGCCTGTTCCCAACCCGGCTTGATCGGCCAAGCTATAAAATATAAGGGCTTGACCTACAAAATGTGGCCTAAAGGCTGGGCCACTATGGTGGCTGTGGTAAGGCCTAGGCCGTGCTTGAGCTAAGGCCTCTTTGGCCCTGTCAGGGCCTGACCAGGCTAGGGCCACCCATGTAAGGACTAGGGCCGGGCTATAGCCATGAGCCGCCTTGTCCAATCCAGACTTATTACTACAGAAAGGAAGGAAAATTAAAAATGACGATAATGCCGATAGTGTCAGACCACCTTCATTTTGTGCTGGACTGCATGCCCAAAGTATCGGACGTTGTGTCAAATCGCATGCTTTCTAGAAGCCCAAAGTGCTAAACTACCCTCATTTTGTGCCGGACCGCAATGCCCAAAGTGCCAGACCGGTCCTATTTTATGTCGGACCGTATGCTTTCCAGAAACAAAGTGGCGAACCACACCCATTTTGTGCTGGACCGCATACTTTCTAGAGGGTATTTTGGTCTTCATTTTACTCTTTTTTTTTACTTGGATGTATTTGCTTGGAAATTAAATTTGAGATAAAAATTGATAAAAAAACTTGATTGGGGGAAGTTGTCCATAAAGTATGATTTTGTGAGATTTTTGTAATTTTTTCAAAAAAAAAAAAAAAAAAACGGTTTTCATCATTTCCCATAAAACTTAAAGATGGACATTTTTAATTGTATTTCTATTGTTAACCCATTTTCATTTATTTGATTGAAAACATATAATGACGGACCCTCCACAAGATTGAGTTTAAGCGCGAGGACTATGCAATACAAAGAAAAAGAATAGAACAGAAAAAAAAAGACGTCGCCTAATCTGGTGGGTTGTAGATGCTTTTCCATTGAAACATTATTGGAGTCACGCACAACAATCTGACATCACCACGTGGTTTGAGTGTGAATATGGAATGTGGCTCCCCAGATTCCATCTTGTAAAAAATAAATAAATAAATAAAATAAAATGGCTCTGGTCATGCCAATGACGGATGGAATGGCCGCGTGGCAGTCTACCACATCAATAATTTTCATTTGACATGGTCGAATACAAAACTGAATAGATTTACGGGAAATTCATTTTCTTCTAGAGCACTGTTTGTTGTCCAAAAATATGAGTTATGTGGAAATGTGTACCATGGAATTAGTATTTCCTGGAATTGGTTTTTCTTGGAATATGTATGTATGTTGTTTTAATAACATCTGGTAGAGACCTGGCAGATACAAATTCACACTTTAGATTGACTGGAAGATGTATTTCCTAGAAATTCAGGAATTTTGAATTATTATTATTTGAAAGAATTTACTATTTCCAATTATGTGATTATTGAATCTTTTTTTCTAATGTCTGTTACATTTCAAAATTATTAAGTTTGCAATATCATTTCTAACAACACCCAGATTTTGATATGATATATTACTCATAAATGCATATTTTATGGTGAAGCAACAAAGTGTGTGATAAGTCTGAATTTCATTTTATTTGTGCCCTCAAACCTCACTGCTATAACAAGGCAATGAGAAGAATGCAAGAGAGAGGAGACAAAAAGACAAATGCAGAGAAAGTGAGAGAGAGAGACCCGTAATGAACTCAAGTGGGATATAAATTGTATATGCAAGTTTCCTCGAGCATGTATTTTTTATACACAAAAGGTCAAAAAACCAGTTCTGTCACAGCCCCGCCTCTTGCCCCCTTGCCGTACTTGCCGAAGGGCAACAGGGTGCAAGAGTAACCAAAGCCTTCCTTTTGATTATGATGTGACACCGTAGTTTCGATGACAGTGAAGGGTGCTAGCATCTCCTTGCCATTATTCAACCCTTGGTTGTTAGATGGCTCATAATCCATTTTCCTCATGATTTGATGGGCCTCGGGGCTGTATAAATCCCATGGGGTTATGACTTCGGCATCTAGAAGAGGATTACTTCGTGAGTTTATCTGGAGTTCTATTTTCTGAGTTTTTGGGATGAAACCTGGAATAGAAGCGGGCATGGATTTCAAGGGGGGAAACTTCCTTCAACTTCGCGTTTACTTTTCTTATAGCCTCCGTTTGGTCAGACAAATTTTGTGTCTATTCCATTGGCACTATAATCGAGACCTATCCTTGAGACTCATATTGCTGATCAAAGGTGTCAGTGAAGTCGTGAATGGGGGTGAAAGGACCACTTCTTGCTTCTTGGCAAGCAATTCGAGCTTCCAACATGGAGACTGGAAAATGCAGGGTCTTTTGGGAATCTTGCATGTGGTAAGCCTGGCGTCGTCTCCTCCCTTTTCAAGGATTGGGATAGGCATAACTTCAGAGATGTGTAGGACTTTAGGGAGTCTTGTCAATGTATGGGGAAAGAGTGAAACCAATTCACACCATTCTTTTCCATGTGCAGGACCTTAGGTATCTGTAATACCTTGAACTGCTCTTTGGGATAGTCGACCGGAGGAGTGGAGGAAGCATCAATGTGCAAAACCTTCTGGTCAACTTTTTTCTTTTCTTCAGTCATGCACGCCGTCTTAGCTGCAAGAAAGGGGATGGGGATATGTAACACTTTCATACCATCAGGAGTATGAGTAACCGTAGGTGTCAGTGGGCTTGAATATACAGCTTTCTTTCCACCATGCTCCATATGAGTTTCCATCGATAGGGATTCTCGTGCGGAAGGGATAGAGGGTGAGGCTTCCCCTTCGTCTTTCTGGCATGGTATGTTTTTCAGGGTTATGGGGAAATTGCCATCAACAGGTGTCAACGGGGTTATTTTCCCATATCTCTTCTCCTCTTGAAAGAGATAATTTAATGATTGCGTCATGTCTTCCACGTCTTCATGAGAGGTTGGTGGAGTCTCCCTTAATTTTGGGTCCATGCTAATTTTTACAGGCAATGCCGGCACTTGGGAGCATATTGGGTTTACAAAATAATATTTTGCATCAGCATAGTGTGACTCAGTGACTGGAAATGGCCTTTTGTTAGCATAGACCTTGTGTTGCCTTCCGTCCCGGCTATATTTGAAACACTGGTGAAGCATGGATGGAACCACACCATGATCATGTAGCCAAGGACGACTTAGTAGGATGTTGTAAGAGGTGTCTATGTGAAAAACATGGAATAACGTGGAAGCATTCAAATCCCCAATTTTAAGCTTGAGATAGATGGTACCAACCGGCTTTTCTTCGGGCTGATTAAATCCTTGAACTGTCACGCTTGTAGGCTCAAGCTTCTCTAGACTTAACCCGACCCGGGTAAGAATCCTTCGCGGCATAAGGTTTACTACTGATCCCCCATCTAGCATGATTCGCTTGACCTGACAGGTGTGCAGCTCGCCAGTCACAAAGAGAGGCCGATTGTGGATTTTCTCTCTTAGTTGTAGGTCATCATCTGAGAACATGATAGCCATGCAAGTGTTGAGTATTGTAGGGTCTACCTTGACCCGTTCGACTTCTGTTTGATATATTTTAGGGCTAGAGAGAGCCTATATCAGGGTCGTTCGAAAGTCTTTAGACAACATGAGGGCATCATAGATACTTAGGAGAGCTGGAAGTTTCCTTAAGTTCCCAATCACATCGTATTTGACTTTGTCAATCTCAGGAAGGCTGATTCCTTGTTTTTCCA